ATGCTTTAGGAGAGGAGCAGAGGCTTAGCTAACAGCAGGGTTGGGAGGACTTTAGAGGAGGGTGGATATGAACTGTTGGTAAGAAAATATGTTTGACTTAGCGGACAGCGGTCTCTATTACAACACGTATCATATGCGACGGTAGTCCATGGGGATTTAAACTGTCACAGCCAGAGAAAGGCAGTAAATTTTATAATGGTGTCCCTTAACGAACTCTGACCTAAAGGGGGTATAATGTAAGGTAAGACTACATAATATAAAACAGTGAAATTGCCATGGCAGATTTTTATTTTATTTTATTTTTTTGACAACACCAAATAAGTACATTGAGAAGAAAAATATATTTTTAAAGACTATTTGATTTATAGTTGATGTACAGGACATTGGTAGAATTGTATTACCTATTGAAAAAACTGTTTGATCCATACTGTTTGCATATTATTCATGTATTCTTGTTTTGCCTTTACGCCTTCCATTCACCTTAGCATGGCTCTTTTCTGACACTGAAATATCCATGTTTGGTCCCTGGGCTACACATTTCCCCGGTCATCCAATAGAGAATCCCTTTACAGTGGTTATATTATAGTGTATTGTTTTCCACAGTGTCACTGCGCATTAAGCTCCGTTCGTTTGACCACAAAATCTCCAGGCAGGTTTAAACGTTGCTGTTGTAAAAGCCCCAAGCGATCTTTCTCTCTCTAGCTCCCTGGCTTTTACCTACTCAACTCACCCTGGACGCCGCACTAAAAATAGTGTCTTTGTGAGAACAGCTTTAGCGAGAGTGAAAGCAGCATGTTGTTGCTCATCAGTGAATTGAAAACCAAGTGGAGCAGACAAGTGTCATTGCACCGGCCAACACTATCTGAAACACCTTTGAGGATATGACGCTGCAGTCAGATTGGGCAGGTGAAGACGAGGCTGTCCCATATGAAGAGGCTCATCCCGCACCCCCAGCTGTTGTTTCGGTGGAGCTTATTTGAGATGGCAGTTGTAATGGATTGGTCGACAGCACCCCAGCGAGAATCCCACTGCTTCATACGGATCAATTTGAGCTGGCCCTCATTGTTAATAAGCCTCTGTATATTCACGCTAACATTGTTCCCCCTCTAATCTGTATTCACACTGGTATTTTCATTCAATCTTTCCGCAAAGCCCTCCTTAAATCCTCGCCAGTCACATTTTCGCTACTTCATAATTCTCCATTTGAAAGTCTTTGTAGTCGCAGACTGGGGTGTTTGTGTTGGCTAGTTTGCATTTAAATGTAACTATATTTGCTTTACTGCAGAATGAATGTGTTTTAAATATATATAATCCAGGAATAATCAATTAGTTAAATTTGGAGTGCCTAGTGTTTCATCTATAGCTGCTCAAGTAAAGCATAATAATAAGAATGTTTATCCTTTGACGGTGTTTGATTGAAACTGCAGAGATGAGCATGGATTTAGGCTAAATCTGTGGGAATGAATAAAACATGTCTCTTTTAAAAACTCCAAAGCAGGAAGTAGTGTTAAAAACAGAAGCCTGCTGGGTGGCCATTGTGTGGGCTGATGTGTTAATCAAGCCACAAACCGTTTGCTTGCTCGGGCCAGAGGTCTCATTTAACCAGGCACCGAAAAGTGAAATGCATTTTGAGTTGGTCCCTGCTGGCCGCGAGCCCTTGACTCCTTTGCAGTAATGTAAATGCTGGATTAGGTTGGAGACCCCTCTAGCCCCCCTCCTCTACTTTTCCATTAAGACAGCTGGTATCTTTCAAAGGGTCCTGGCTCAGTGATTGATGTGTAATAGCTCCCAGCCTCACCTGCCCCCTCACTGCTGTATTCATGGGGCCAGCCGGCACTTTGTTTCCTCGGCCGGTGGGTGGAGAGGTGGAGAGGTGGAGGGAGTGGGGCTCGCTTTTCCTCCACGCCGTCAATACGTTATGACTGTTCATTGCAGCACCGGGCTACTACTTCACACCATGACTCACTCCCTTGTGCTCACTTAATTTGTCCAATGTTAAATCACCCTTTATTCTGCATCAGACAACTGCTGCAGCTGCTCAAGTAGTCATGCCTTTGCCAGTGTATTGGCTTTTAACAATCTTCAAATGTAGCGTGACCAAATAAGTTGCTGGTGTAAAAAAAAAAAAAAGTACTGACGTCATTTTTGTTTAAGGCTATTTTTCAAGTTTGGCGTGTGTTTATCTCCAGGTGCTAATTACTGTGCTCAGTTGGGTTTGAGCGGCGTTAATTGTTTTGAAATACAATGACATTGCACAGTTATAACGATGAGTTTATTAATCATATGTAGCAGCAAGCATTCTTTACCTTTTGAATTCTCTACATAGGTGATTTAGATAAGGTAAAGCGTTTAAAATGTACAATCTTTTGGTGTTTGTTGCTCTGTTGTTTGAATAGATCCCCGCACAATTAATCTTTATTATATCAATCAATCACTATTCACACAGGCTGCAGTTCATTATGTCCTTCGCAAAAATCTAATAATACAGTCTCCATGGAGTCCCATTTAGAGTAAAATGCTCTGAAATGTATGTAATTCTTGTATCAATTTGCCTCCAACCTCGTTCCAGAATTAGCAAATTAGCTCCATATCCACAACTGTAATAAATGATTTCATAATTACTGACCTTTTGGGGCTCTCTCTCACCTGTGGTACAGAATGAAGTGATTATTTGCTTGATTGTTTCTTCTCAGGGATCTTTTAAAGTATACAGTTTCATAATTAAATAGCCATGGCAATGTTTTGTATTGTTTACCCCAAATTGATCCAACGTAATCTAACTCTATAAAAACATTCTTTAAACCCAAAACATTTGTGGATATGCAGCCAATGACTTTGTACAATCTCTGCCCTACTTATGGAGATGATTGAGGAAGAATCATTTGAAGCTGGGCAGTTGAGTAAAGCGTAACCAGATGTGGACTAATAGCACCTCGATTGTGCACATACTCAGAGAGGCTTGTGCGGCCCCCGACTTCAAAGAGCCCTCCATTTAAAACAGTTTAGAGTCCTCGCCGCATGTTCCTGATTAGATCGGAGGAGAGAGGTGCTTAGCTCTCCCTCGCAGCCTGTCAGCCCAGAGACCTGAGCCATCACATGCTGCCGTCATCCATGTTTTCATGTTCCTCACAGCTCAGAGGCACACCGCTGCAGACAGGCGCTTTGACACTCCACAGGAAGCACTGTTGTAATACTGTAACACTTTGCTCGCCAACTCAAACTTATTTTTACTCTTGGACACAGAGGTATAAGCATTTCAAGACTGACAAGGAGACGTCTGAGTTAAATGTTTATATCATTTGACAGTTTGATGGAACACCTTACGCGCTTGTGTCAAGTTTACTTCTGTTTAGGCTTGTCTTTTTTTTTTTTTTTTTTTTTTTTAAGCTTTAAAGGGTTTTGAATATTTTAATTCTAGACTCTCCAAACCTGTAGTAGTTTTTTATTGGATTTATCACTTATATTTCCTTTACTACATTAGTTTGTCATCAGCTTGTCAGTTTTGACCTGTTCTTGTGTGGTCTTGACTCCAAACACTGCAGCAGAGAGTATTAGGTGCACTTGTCTCTCTATATGCCTGTCCCTGGTGTGTGCGTGCCCCGGCGGCGTGTGTGTGTCAGCCCAGTGGTCGCCGTGGTAACTCATCATTAGGTGATTAATGGGGCTGTGACGAGGCTGCGGTTTAATCAGGCCCGCTGTTTGTGTTGAAGCCCACGACAAGAGCAGCTGCCCTGTCAGTTGGTGTCTGCTCACGAGATGACAGCACCCGCTGCTGAGGAGGGCCGTTGTCAAACGTGCTCCATTGTACCAGTGTATGCGCCAAAGCCCCTTCCCTGTCTAATCCTGACCTCACTTTCTAACCAGCACTGTCAATAAACTGGCATGCTTTTATGTAGCGGCTTAGTGTTACCTGTCTCTATTTTCACTCCTGCTATCACCTCCATGGTAACGCGCTGTTGATTGCCTGGTCTGCTCCCTCTGGGCGCTGTAATAACTATTTCTAGTTAATTTGTTGCAGCGGGTGCAGAGGAGGGGCCGTGCTGGCAGTAAATGAGAAGCCTCCTTTGTAGGCGCAGTGTGTAGGACCAGTGTGGAGCATAAGGCTGGGCCTGCTGCTGTTTACGGAGGACTTCATTATGACCGGAGACGGCTGTGTGGCTGTAGCTGTAAAAGGCAGTGGCCAATGACTCTGCTCAGTGCTGTGCTGTGGTCGTCCCTCCAGAGCTGTCACTTCACATTAGCCCAGTGCTGACACACGCGCACACACAACACACACACAGCGGACAGACAGGGGTAAAATTGAGCTGGGTGTCATCACAGATGGTCTTCAGAGGAGCTGGCCAGTTAACTCTTGTCACTGACTTTTATCCAGAGCATTGCAGGCATCGTGCTGAAAAGCCCCTGGATACATTTCCACTCAAGAATGTGGCTCTGAGCTGCTCATATACTGCAGCATTACCATTAGTGCTTAGACTGGTAAAACCACCCTTTAACGTATTGTGTTACACATTCACACTTTAGCTTCACTCTATTTCACTCATTGCCTGGCGCGCACTAAATCTGTTTCATTGCCTCGGTGGAAAAAGAGAAATATGTTTGAGCAGGAAGCTAGAAGGCTCTGTTCCTTTGATAAGCCACTCAGTGCTCTCCGGAGAATACATGGCTGTGGAGGGATTGCCAACAATTACTGTGATGTTGAGAAGAGTCAGCCTGGCTGCCTGATTTCTGAGGAAAAAAAACAGCTTTTAGAGCAACGCCTGTAAAGTGGAGCTTGTGCATAGAATAAATAATTGTTGTTAATGGGGCTACTACTGTATATTCCACATGTTTATTATGTCTGCAGTGTCATCCATCTGAAAATCCATAATATAGATTTTGCCTAGATTTTAGTCTGTCCAAAGCAGTGCTATTGATGTCTTTTTTTTAGCCTATAAGATAGTTTTAAGACTTGTTTTCTTGGCATTCTTTTGCTAACTGTCTCTCTCCTTCTGTGTTCACAGCTCTTCTGAAACACTGGGGTTGTTGGTGTGGCCAAATTTTCCCTGGATTTGACTGGTAAATTCAGAAGACTGAAGCCCAGGCTCACAGTCTACCTTTCACGGAGGCCCAGCCGTGAGAGGACTGAGGAAGGCACGTGGCGGATCATGACGGCCGATAAAGACAAGGAGCGGGAGAAAGAACGGGACAGAGATCGCGACCGGGACAAGCGCGAGGGGGGCAAGTCCCGCAGGCAGGACCCCGACCGGGACGGGGAGAGCACCCGGCCTCGGCGCAGCTGCACTCTGGAGGGAGGTGCCAAGAACTATGCAGAGAGCGAACATAGTGAGGACGACGATAACGATAACGGCAGTACGGGTGGAGGCAGCGGGACAGCCGAGGAGGCCGGAAAGAAAGGCAAGAAGAAAACGCCTAAGAAGAAGTCTCGCTACGAGCGCACGGAGAACGGAGAGATTACCTCCTTCATCACAGAAGATGACATTGTTTACAGACCTGGAGGTGAGTGTCTGTCATAGTTCTGTGTGTGTGGAGAGGGGGATTGTGTAGGACAAGGTCAGTGCAGCCAAAACATGCTGCGTCCGAGGCAGTGACCTGGTCAGACAAATCAGACATAAATCACACCTAATCATTCTTCCTTTGAGCCATCATAATAGATTAGAACAAAATTAACTTTGATGAACATTAAGGTCAATAACATGTTATAATTACCTGCATCAGTGAGAAAATCACTAGTTACTAACTACAAGTTAGTTGTGATTTCCAAACTTACTTATACTTATTTATTAGTTATAAACAATACATTTAAAAATAGTATGTTAATATTCAATGTATAGGTTTACTATTGTTAATGGAAACCATTTCCAAAATATTGCCATGACTTTCAGATAACATGGCAGCCAATATCTTATTACACCATTGCTTAAGTGCTGCTACACTTCATTCATGTGAGAGCAGCCTCAGCAGTGTTGAGGGCAGAGCCAGAGGCCATTTGCATCATTAAATCAATTTCAAGGTGCCCTGCTTTGTGTAATTGTTGCACTACCAAGTCAATAGTCCAAGTACATACGACCTGGCAGTGACCAAAAACCTAATAATAATTTTATTCCTATATAACTCCGCTACTCAGTCAATGCTGCCTTTCAAGAGCAAATGAGATTCTACTTTTCCTGGCACAGCTGTGGTACAATGTACTTATTACAGCAGCTTGAATGGGGCTAAAAAGAGGAGCAACCTTTTCCGCTGCTGTAAACATGGCCTCTTGTTCACCTACTGTTTATAAATTGGTTGGTGCTAGTAGTGGGAATGTCAACACAGGCTGTCAGAGGAAGGAAGGAAGCCAGGCCCTGCTCACTGCAATCTCCTTGAACCTAAATCACGGCCGTCATGTCTCTTTATTCATCTCTCCGCCAGCAAAAGGTCAAGTAGTCGAGGGGAGGTGGTGCCCCGCATTGCCTTGGATATCTAATGGGATTTTATCAGAATTACAGCTTGTGTGTGCTATCATGAAGTGTAAGCACCAACTCCCTCATGCATCTACTACGCTGAGGCACATAGAGCTTTGTTACAGAGAAATAAGCCAAGAGCAAGAGGCCTGGAGCAGAGCAGACCCCCTCCACACTGCCCTCTCCGTCTGTAGCCCTAATCTTGTTGGCTAAATTATCTCTGCACCGGTATCAGCAGAGGCCCTTGTGTAAGCAGTCACACTGGAGCAGAAAAAGCTGCCTTATGGTTTTATGCATCGCATTCTAGTAAGGTTTATACTACAGAAAATGTTTGCAAATTAGCATGTCTTGGTCTTGGAGCAATATATAAGTAGTAAAATATACACTTGTTACTAGGGATGGGACGATAAACAAAAATTATGTTTACGTGATAAAAAGGGTAGACAATTTGTGGTACTTGCCAATAAAGATCATTTCCATTATACCACCAGATCTGTTCTATAAAAGACCATCAAAATATAACTAACCCCATTCACAAAAAGCAACACATTGGTAGATTTTATGATTTGAAGTCAACAACTTGATGGTAAATCATAAAAAGTGCATAAGTATTAGTTTGAACACTAAATCTTTATCATCACGATATATGTATCAATGCCTTTGCTGAGTGCTTTTAAGTACTTATAGTGCCTGCTTTGACTTTATTGCTTTAGTGCAGGTCAGGGATATTATTTTGTTTCTACTACGTTAATGTGTTTGTTGGAAGCTGTAATGTTAGTACCTGCTTTTCACCGCCTCCACAAAATCATTTCTGATCCAAGCGGCATCTTTTCATAGAAATGTTATTAGAGAAGCCTTTTTTAGCTCCACGCTTCATGTTTAACAGTGAGAGCACAGGCGCTTTGTCTCCTAGCCAACCATTCAGAAAGGGGGAGGGGGGATTTTTACTGTTTTACATAAGCAGTAGGTCTCTGAAACATTCAAAGGCAATCTAAACAACCGTCTCAGTGGATTAGCGGCTGACTAATATTTATACTTTGACATCCGAGCGAACAGCCATAGAGCCATATTTCCTGTCTTCGTTTTCAATTAGTGTGACAGGGTCTGGAGTGGCCTGGACGTCACTGCCTCCTCCGCACCGGCTTGAGCTGTTAGAATGATTACACTTTATCATAGGTACACCATCTCATAATTTAACTCCTATTGTCAACAGTAGATCCATCAGCCCCCCTGCTGTCTCCCCTTCTTATTGTTGAAGTGATAAGCTCTGTGTGTTTGCCTGTGCCTGCCTTGGTCATTGGTAGCAGTGCACTTCTAGCAATCAGATTGGATGTATGCAGCTTAGGCAAGCACAAAGCCTGCAATGGATTATGCTTTACTAAATGTTAAATCCCTTTATACCCGTCTAGTGACACACAATATGTAAAACTGACCACCCCGGGAGAGGGATTTACACTGTCCCAGACAAAGGAGGGGGTAGCAACAGCCATGCAGAGCAATATTGGAAATGTTATTGCCAAATGAAGTTAGCCCAGTGACCCAGAGATGACTCACTGTACTATAAACAACCAACTGTTCACAAACACTGATTTTATACTGAGTATATATTTTAAAATCTGATTCTTAGCTCTCAGTTTGTGGCAGATGGGAAGCCTTCACGAAAAAACGAGATAGGATTTTAACTAGAGCCGAGCTAAAAATGCACTTTGAGAAGCTGTTAAAAGATATGAAGAATTTCTCTTAACACTGAGTTCTTCGACCAAATGTTTTTATTTTGATGGTAAAAATATCAGGAAGTTAATTATGACAAGCTAAAGACTACACATTTTGCTGTGAATTATGATCTGGAAGTATTTTCAAGAATGCTTCTTTTTGAGATGTTGACAGTATCTAATCTTAACTAAGAATATAGTATTGTTACACTATTACATCTTTATTTCTCCCAACCTTTAGCTGTTAACATTGCAGTAGAGTATAACATAACATTACAACAATGAACACAGTGATGCAATAATGGACTTGTGTTTAATGTGTACTTCTTTTGAGACCTAATTAAAAGCCATGTTTTTGTTTCTTTTTGCCTACTGACATCCTCCCTCAAGCCTTCCCATTTCTATCCCGGCCTTCAAGATGGGCTCATGCGGCTTACTGCTTATCGATTAGTGCAGTGCAGTTGCCCGATAGCTTGGCCTGCAGCACACTCACTGTTGCAATTTAAAAGGAATACACAGAACATGTCCTACCACTGCTGGGACTAGTGGCTGTAGAGGTGCACCCCTGGACCCCTGACCGACATCCCAAATCAATCTGCGCCCCTTGGCTTAGCTCGGGACACTTCCCCAGGGCACTGCAGACACCCCATCAGTCTGGTCCCCATGCCCCCCCCCCCCTCATAGATCTCCTCTCTAGAGATTATACACTGCCACAGGGAGATCAATAGGAGATGGCCTGCTCTCCCGTGAACCTGTGCAGACATGAGGGATGCTATCTGACACTGTAACACCCTTCAAATGCTAAAGAGCTGTGCACCCTGAACAAAGCTTACAGTTTATTGTGCATTGTATTAAACAGATTCATAGGATACATAATTATCAACCCATCTGCTTGTCTGGTAAACATGCAGTATGTAGTAGCAGTCATTATGCACTATTATGTTGTATACAATTGTTTTGAGTTGGAGGAGGTGATATTGTTTACTGATAATTAATGCAAGGCCTTTAGGAGGTAAAAGTGACAAAACCTGTAGTAAAATGGTGCCACAAATGCTCTCACAAAAGGCTGTGAAATTAATAATTCATGTAATTCTTGCTATAGATGTTGTATTGTTTGCTGATTGCAAGCTAAAACTAAATTGATTAGCATATTTTTACACATTGGATTGCTATTTTAGGTGTGAATAAAAAGCTATTACATAAGTCTCTCTCCTGAAAAAATGAAAAAAGTGTGTTAAAAACAAAATATGGCATAAGTACTTATAGGCCAACAGTCGACTTGCTTGCCCTCTGTTCCGAGGCAGACAGGTGGCCAGCTGCCATCAAGAGTCTGCTTTTTTCCTAACTGACTTAATCACTGTCTCTTGTGTTTCAAACTAAGAAACCTAATCGACATCTTACCATTTTCCTCATCATGATCACAATCTATACAAACACGTGTTATGTTTTGTCTAGATTTTATTGGTGTTAAGAACATTGTATCCCAGTCTTAGAAAGAAATGCCTAGGACACATTTAGGAGACGTTGGACAGCTGGCATTTGGTGCCACAGCCACTGCAGAAGCCCGGGGGAGTGTGTACGTGTGGCATACAGTGAGCCATGTCTGAAATACATGCAGCTCCGGATAACCACCAACTCCTCTCAATCCTGTGTCCTCACCCACAGACACCCACCATCTACTCACCCATGCTCCCTCCTCTTCACTTACTTCACATGCACAACTCTATTTATTTGTTTACTTTGTTTATTTTTGAAACGGGGACAGTGCACAACATACATAAACCTTAACAGGAGAGATGCATTGTGCCAGGTTGTAGCACTAGAGCTAATTTCCACCTGTACTCCCTGGTGCATGGTTTTAGGTTGCTTTCAATCATCACGTTTGGTTTTCAAACTGGGCTTTCACTTGTCACCCTGTGGGCACATAGAGAGATTTATATGGAAAGTATTACAAAATGTCAGTTATTGCATTTTACATGGTGTACACTGCTGGAAAAAAATATTACTGGACATTTTCCTTGCCTATATCTGTTCAGACTCACGCTGGCATTAACCTTATACATTTAATCATCTAGCACACATAAATCCTACTAATACTTCTCAATAAAGATGACTAAAATGTGGGTTTAACAATATGTGAGAACAAGAGCACTGTGCAGTTCAGTTGTTAGTGGCCCCCTCTAGAACTCTGTGTTGTCGTTAATAGGTTGACCGCTGCTGACCCAGGCCACCCTTCGCGAGACCACCGTTAGCATTAGCTCTCCCTTTTGGCTATGACCCCGCGCTGTCTGTCACTTTACTCTGCTGTGACTCTACACTGCAACAGGCACTTGGAGTCATCACA